GTTTTCTATTACTTAAATATGAAATAATAAGTTTAAGCGCTGTGTTCTTGACACCATAGTACTGTAGCTTCCTGATTAATGTCTCATGGTGAACACAGTCGAAGGCCTTGGAAAGGTTACAACTAAAACGACTAAATCTAGTCCAGTTCAATCCAAAGTTCAATAAAAAGAACCCCTTTGTTGTATCTCCTCAGTTTCAAGGCACTCCCCTGGCTGCCTCAGTTAGCATCGAAATCCTCGCCGTCGACATATTGAATAGTGTGCAGTTTCGTAGTCACTTGGAAGGGACGGCCAAATTGGCCTCTAAAAAGGTTGGCGTGCTCAGCAGAGCGAGACAGTATTTTATGCGGGCACACCCCTTGCAACTTTACAAAGCGCAGGTTCGGCCTCACATGGAATACTGTTCTCATCTCTGGGCCGGGGCACCCCAGTGCCAGCTCCTTCTACTTGACCGCATCCAGTGCAGAGCGGTTCGAATCGTCGACGACCGAGTTCTTTCTTATCGACTCGATACACTAGTGATGCGTAGGGATGTTGCATCCCTTTGCATTTTCTATCAGTTCTACCACGGGGAGTGCTCTGAGGAATTGTTCGGATTAATTGCAGCCGCCAAATTTCACGAACGCACATCGCGTCAAAATTCACAATACCATCCTCACCATCTGGATGCTTGGCGGTCCACGACTGTGTGTTTTAGTTTTAGGAGTTTTCTTCCTCGTACAAATTCTCTGAGGAATTGTTTACCACCGGCGATTTTTCCAGACTGATACGACTTAGTGACCTTTAAGAAAATCCGCATGCTCATTTGCCCTCTCTTCTATAAAAAAAAAATACGGTCGGGTAGATCATACTCTCTCTTCTTGTTTTACTTTTCTCCACGCTGTATCCTTCAATTAATTATTTTTGTACTTTTCTGTTGTAACAGGCAAGCATATTTTCTTACACACTCCCTATTAAGTGTTCCATGTTGTAATCCTATATCTACATCTACAATAGAGAAAAACTACGACAAAAACAATCATTTTGGCGTCACCGCAAATTCGTCGCATATAGGGACATTCTGATACTAATAAATACCAGTAGGTAATCGATACTTTTGATTCGATACCAAGTACTAATAGCATCGAATCAATCTTGCGATACTTACTCGGTATCGAAACAAAAGTACTTGGTATCGAACCAGACGAGCCGAACCCGTTCGACTTCACCAGAACCGAAATCGAGAGAGAGAGAAAGAGAGAGCTGCCATTACACTAAAATAGTCACTGGTCGTCAGCACTAGCAGTGTTCAGCATTCCACAAGTGATTGTTTACAATTACGTTACGAGTAATTTAAGTTATTGTAGTCATCAGTTTATTGTTCAGAATAATAATTCAGAATTCCTGATCGCGTCGATAACCTAAAAAAATGTCATTAGGGTGTATCCAACTTGTCAAGTGTCAACCAACAACGCTACCACAGAATAACAAAGCAAAGGCAGTGACAACTGTGACATTACAGTTATCTGTTTCTTTGTTGGTTGTTTTTTAAACAATCCGGTGGTTGATCGTAAACAAGATTCAATGCATGTTTAGAACAATGTTAATGGTTCTATTTATCTAAAATAAATATAAAAACTTACGGTGAAATATTTGACTACTATAATTACATCAACGCCATCTGAGCGGTTATTTTCAAAAGATGGCTTAACTTTTATCAACAGAGAAACAGATTGAAAGGTACTTCTTTGTCAAAATTACTATTTCTTCTATCAAATCAATCGACAAAAGAATTTTGGACTATGTTAGATATTTGTAAACTTCTTCCAATTTTTTTTAATTACTGTTTTACACTACATACATTATTTAATCATTTCTTTTATTTCATTATTACTAAACCGTAACCAATATGATTATTTTTTATTCATCTAATTCTAACTTATTAAATACCTGGAAAAAAACCGTTAATGGCCAATATCGACGTTTTGAGTAGAATAAATATCGAACATCGATGTTGAGCTATCGATGCCAACATCGATGTAATCATCGATGTTTCTGCAACATCAATCATCTCTAGTTGTAGTTTCGTTTGCGGGACAGCCGAGGGTGAGGGAGGAGGAAGAGGGTGGCGCGCGATATAGCACAACATGAACTCAGCGCATCGCATAAATTTTATAGTGTGAACGTGTCCATAACAATGTATGGTGCGCGATATTGTTGTCCTGTGAGCTATATACTATATGCTATTATATTATAGCGTAGTCTGAAAGCCGCTTTAGGGACCTTCAAGAAAAGAGCTTAGGTACACCTTACTAAAAGGCCGGCAACGCACCTTCAATTTCCCTGGTGTTGCGGTTGTTCATGGGCGGCGGTAGTCACTTACCATCAGGTGAGCCGCATGCTCGTTTGTCCCCTCTTCTATAAAAAAAATCTCCCTGGATAATGACACTAGAGCAAATATATTTTAGTAAAACTAGGATCTTAAGTTGTACCGCCGTTATTAGACATCCGGCTTTAACTAACATAACAAATAAAAGGAAACATACAGATAGCTACAGTCCTTCTTATATTGTTGTTTAACAAAAATCGTTCTAGTTTTGCAAAAGCAACAAGTAAATACGGTATGATGATTTCGGCAATTTTTCAGAGGTGGTTAAATAATCATTCCGCAGTAATTATCTCTCTTGGTTGACTAGCTTAGTCGTTCAGGCATCGCGCGACAGCACTAGATTGTTATAATACGGCCTGAAAAAAATTTAAGAATTGATTATTCTTAAACTTTTTTGCAGCCCGTATTATCCTCTTAATGCTGTTGTTTCGTATGGTGAATAACGAGAACCGAAGACCCTTTTTATTGGTAGAAAATAATTCTCTGTCAGTCCTCAGGGTGACACCGCATCTGCATACATAACAAAACCATGTTCGATCGAAAATATATAGGTATCGTAATGATATTACCAAAAAACAAAGATAACATTATTGAATATATATTTATGTATTTTAAATACTACCAGTTTGTTTCACTTCAATTTGCTTAAGATTCAGCAAATTTTTAAAATGTGCCCACACGGTCAGCGACAATATTTTTGAATGTTTGGCACGCCGTTGCCATTGCCCTGTAAGTGTCCCAATTTGGTAAAATTTTATTTTATTTTTGGGGTATTTTTAATGATTATTCGCTGAAAAGATTTACACTACAGAATCATATCGCGATACCTAAAAGCACTATAATGGATCGGACAGGGTTTTTGTTAAGTATTGAGTCCTATTTCAAAAATTGACAAAGCACCACCAGTATTCAGATTTCTGTGGTCATCATCATCATTATTACAGCCGCAAAGTCCACTGCTGAACATAGAGCTCCCCCAAGTAATACCACAAAGCACGGTCCTGAGCCACCTGCATCCATCGACATCCTGCATAGGCTGCCACTAGAGATCCTTGCTTCCTTAGCGGTTGTTGGTTTTTTAATATAGCTTGAGGCCGGCCAATTGCCACTTTAGCTTACCAATCTGTTGGACTATGTTGGTTACTCTGACTGTGATTGTTAGTGCGAAATAAAATCCGTGTTAACATTTAAAGTATTTATTTACAACTTACAATTTTAAGAGCAACACAGTAAATCTACAATGCGGTCCTTGTTACAAGGCACAAAATAAAGTTCGAACATTATTTTTGCTATCTATATTATGTACTTGAGTTTTTAATATCAACGTAAACTACTAATATTGCTAAAAAAATATTAGGAACCCTAAACAAAATATCTTACGAGACTAGATTGCGGAATGTTCTACAACATTTTACTAAAGGGGTATTAAATTTAAAGTATGATATCGTAAAATCTATGTTTTTATGTGTTTATGTGTGTTATCTGTGGTTCCAAACTATGTATTGAGCGTAAAAATATGGGCATCAAGTGAGAAAAATTATGCAATTAGCTTTACTATCCGACCAATTATTTTTTTTATTATGATATCAGTTTATATTATAAGCAGCTTATCTTTTAAGTGTCTGTATTATGTTAATTTTGAACATAACTCAGAATCGGATGACAAAAAAATGCTTTTTAGTCCGTTTTAAAACGTATATTTAAAAAATGCCTCAATAATTATTATTAATTATAACATTAAGTTCGTGAGGTGAGCTTTTATTTATTTTTCAAGTTTGGAAAATATAATTGATCGTATATAAAAACAATTGACTTATGTATAATTAATTAACTTCCCATTGGTAATTTGTTGTAATGGGTTCGATTTTCCTAAATTCACAGACTAAGAAGAGTACTTGCGTACCTGAGTCCAAATTTCAACATAAAGTGTATTTCCATGTTTTAAAGTTCCTAAAGTTCCATACTATCTATTATTTAAAAGGATCTACATCTTCAGTATTTAAAAAGGATGTTCCTACATTAGTGAAATTTTCCATCTCGCATATCTCGACAACTAAACTTCATTATAGATTCATATGTTTTCATTAAATTTCATTCTGTAGATTGAAAGAAAAATCGATATTACAATTAGCTACCAATTGGGAAGTTGATAGGTCGGGTATACCGAACCAACACATGTTTAAGTATTGTCATATCTTGCAAAAATATCTCAACCCCTGAAAACCAGTTGTTAAACTAATTTTGCAATAAACCATTTCATGACCATTATTCTAACCATTTCTAGCCGTCCAAAATTTGTATCACTTTTTCGTTCACCTACAAATATTTTACACGGTCTTAGACCATTTTAGAAGATAATAAATACATTGATCACATTAATTTTATCAAGTCGCATCGTTAATTTTTCTTATCAAAAAAGTGCAAATATAATTTACGAATACATTACGCGACATCGTGTTTTTGTAATCGATAATTAGACATTTATAAACAAAAATTATCAACGTAACATTGTCCAAGTAATAACTAATAGATAATATATTTCAAAACGACCTCTAAAATGTTTATGTAAAAATGTAGAATTATCTAGGAGAAAATAATTTTCCCCGTTTGATTTTGCAACCCCGGCTTGGGCCTATAGCTTCACTTTTCCATTGCAAATATCATTAAAAAGCTGAGTAGTAATCGGTACGAAGTCGGCGCCTGACCTGAAGTATAATGGATCTTTTATAACGTCTGGATCGAAGCCTTCCTTTTGATACTGTAGTTTTTTGAGCTTGAATGTTCCTGAGAAATGACAAAAAATAAAATTAAGGCGGGAAACAGGCTACATTATGTATAAGTACTTGAGTATGATAGATTTTATCTCGTAGATAATTATTACTACATTTCTTTTTAATCCACATTCCCTTAACGTGTTGACAGCAGATATTAGTTATTACCTACCATTGAATTAGAAATAACCTACTTCTTCTTTATTTGCCCTTTAAAGACATAATAATAATAAAATAATAATAATAAATCATTTATTCTGGACCAAACCTTTAGTACATTTTTCACACCCACCAAACTGGACATAGACATAGGCCTTCCCCCCTTAGGTAGGATTTAGCAGGCGGGTTGACGATCGCACTACCAGACCAGACTACTCACATCTTTGACGTCCCCCTAGCCCCTGTCGCCAGTCTTGCCATTTAATGTCTTGCGTAGACGAGATGATTGTACCGCAATCTATCATTGTGACATTTTCCTAAAGTCGCTTCTTACGAAACCCACAAGACAAAATGGGAGGAAATGATTTTCTTTCGCCACCACCTCACTTCGTTAAGATTCGTAAGAAAGGTTGGCCAACATGAAAAAGGGTACTTACTAATGTTTATAGAAAGTATGAAACTATGGAAATTCCTAAGTAGGTTACTTAGGAACCCGTTTTGAAGCTCAAACCCATTAGTAGGTTTGTGCCCAGCAGTAATGTATAGGCTGTTTCTTTAGTTAGCTAAAGACAATGATAGTGAAAGTGAAAGTGGTTGAGGCGGCGCGCTTAGTAGTATTGATATAAGTGTTGTGTGGTGCACACTGCACACAGTACGGACCGGTGATCTCGATGTCGTCCATGAGGCGCAGGAACAGAGGGCGCGCGTAGGCCGGCAGCGCGTGGTCGAGGCGGCGCGCCAGCTCGTGCAGCTGCAGCGCGCGCGCCGGGTCCGCCACCGCCGCCATGCCCGCGCGCCCCTCCGTCTGCGGGATCTGCACAACACACCACACACTATCACTTCGTACCCTTAAAGCTTCTGCTAGTTTTTGGATGAGTGCATCCACTACTTCTTCTGCCAATAACTGCCAAAAACGCTGGCTGCATTTCCTAGCTGAGTGGCTATATAGTCTATTTTTTATTATTTTTTTTTACTTATTATAAGCCAGTGCTTAACCACAATCCTACCTAGTGGTTTATTTTCATAGAATAAGGGTGACAAACGAGCACACAGTCCACCTGATGGTAAGTGGTTGCTGCCGCCCATTAACATTTACATCTATTCTCGATTGCGAAACAAAACGCAGATGTGTTGTTACCCGTGAGGACTAAGATGTAATGCCTCGTTTCCAGTAAAAAGGGTCTCCGGTTCTCTACACTCACCATACGAAACACAGCAGCGATAATCATCCCATGATCATCCTGGCACCATCGATTCGATCTGAAGATAACTCTGTGGATTGCGCTACAAGATGACTGTCATCACACCAATTATCAGAACATCCTTTGTGGTGACAGGGTCCGCAGTGGCTGCTGATATTTGATCCAAACATTATCAAAAAAGAAACATACCAACCGCCGTAATTAGAGGCCAAGAAGGCCAGTGTGAACGCAGCCTTATCTTATAAAAACGATTTAAATTTACAATTATTAAATGAATGCAGCTCGACACAGCGCATAAAGCGTCTCCCACACAGAAGCGGCTTGCGGTGGAGGCCAGTTGTATTTGCTTGCAATGTAAGTGAGTCTGCAAACACGTGCGGCCATGTCCCGATTTACCGTGTGTAAAATGGTGCTAAATTCAGAAATTTTAATAGAAACTGCAAAATTATCCAGTACTTCATGATAATTCGCATCGTGATTACAAAATCATTAGGATTAAAAAGAACATATATGATAATATTACTGAATATAATAAGACTTCGTCACGATTAGCAATGTTTACTGACTTCCAATTGTAGCACGGACACCACAGCGAATGGCACTTCGGGCCGCCACTGCGATCGCGGTGATGTGTTGTTGCAGCGGCTGGAGCCGCGACTTGCGGTTAGCCGCCACCGCAAGCTGCTTGTGTGTGGGAGACGCTTAAGAACTACAATAAGCTGGCTATCACTTTTCACACAATGGTTGCGAAACAAACAATTACCTCGGCAACATTACCTATCGACATCAGAAAGACAACATGCTATAAATTTAGTTATCAAAACAGTACAATCGATAGAATTTGAGGATGAAATTAAACAACTGCAAAAACAAGAGAAATTGAGAAGATCCAATAAGCTGCTGAGCCTCAATCCTTACCACGACCAAAGTGATGGACTGCTAAAAGTTGGCGGAAGGTTAAACAATTCCTTACTCAGCAAGTTAGCCAAACACCCTATAATACTACCAAGTCATGGCAAACAAACAGCACGCCCACTCTGCCACGCTACACGGTGTGGCCCACCGTGTTTGACTTTGTCTTACATACGGGAAAATTACTGGATTCTCAGTGAGCTTCGCACAGTGAATAGAGAACTTCGCAAGTGTGTAATATGTAGACATTTCGAAGAAGAAAAACGAACTAAGATTATAGCTGATCTACCAGAGCCTCGGGTCACTCCATCGCGCGTTTTCTCCCACTGTGGCATCGACTTCACAGGAGCCTTGCCACAGGAGACATCAAAGCAAATAAGAGTAGTGGAGTGTGAACACACAAGGGTTACGTCGCAGTGTGTGTTTGCCTCGCAACAAAGGCTGTTCATCTCGAGCTCGTGTCTGATCACACTACACCTGGATTTCTGGTAGCATTTCGACGATTTTGCGCCAGAAGATCCTTCCCCAAACATATATAGAGCGATCAAGAACGTAACTTTATCGGAGCATCCAAAGACTTGAAGAAAGAATACAAAGATATCCTTGCAACCATCAATGAAGAGCTCCTGAGCAAGATCGATGACTATGTGAGATGTATAGAACAAAGGAAACGACCGTTTAGTAGCGAGGCTAGTTTATTACTCCCGTGCTGCGCACCCGCAATACATATCATTCCTCTACACTTAATTTTGATACCTGTTAACAAAGTAGATTTACAGTGATCAGTTAATACTTAAATTTCTATTAAATATATAATACATGAAGTTTTAAATAGAACAATATTTAAGATACTTATGACTTAACAGATGTACAACATTTAATAAATTAAATTATACCACACCACACCACAACAACAACTAGATTTAATACACAATGAATCATTTAAAATACTTCTTATAATCTATCCCCTTCCGGGGGCGCAGTTGACGAGCGGGTGTCGGTGCCTGCGCTGGTGGTACGTCATTGGAGCGGACAGAATCGCTCTGAGGCTGTTCGACTCCGTTTTCGGAAGCTTCAGGCGAATCTGACGCTTCCGGAATCTCTGTTGAATCTCTCACGCTGTCCTGTGCCGAATAATCGCCCCATTCTTCCCCATTAACATCGTCTATTGCGTCAGTATTAACGGGTTGCTCTACTATGGTCGATGACCGAGGATTGCCTACAGAAGGTTCGGATAAAGGAGCATTCACGGGCATAGACGGTGACAAGGGTAACGACTGAAAATTGCGACTCTCAACATTATCAGTGTTATTAATTTTTAATGAATTATCGTTGCCCGTAAATTTTAACAGCTGATCTATATGTCTAATGCATGTTGCTTCAAATTTTATAATAAATATTTTGTACATTTTACTACCGACCTTCTCTTTAATTGTACCTAACTCCCAAGTTTCTTTCCGGGCACTGTACCACCGAGCCCAAACAGTATCACCTATTTCAAAAAATCTCCTACTGGTTACTAAAGGCATATTTAATTGTGTTTTTTCTATGGGTATAATTAGGTCGAGACGAGATCGTAGATTTCTACCAAACATTAATTTAGCCGGCGTTTCGCCGGTTGTACAGTGTACCGTGTTCCTGTAGTTAAATAAATATCCCAATAATACTTCATTAATTTGGTGCTGTGGTAGGTTATCTTTTAAAATACATTTTAGCATTTTTTTACAAGTCCTAACCGAATTCTCCGCTTGTCCATTACTTGGTGGATGATATATGGGGGAAGTTAAGTACTTAATACCATTGTTAGAGCAGAAGGTCTTAAATTCATTAGAGTTTATTTTAACATCGTTATCAGAAACTAAAACATTAGGTATACCGAAAGTAGAGAAAATATTTTTTTATTTTGTAACAAGCGATTGTGACGACGTTCCACTGTTTATGAATATACATTCCAGCCATTTACTAAACGAATCAACTACCACGAGGTATACCCTTTGCCCCACGGTCATGTAGTCGATATGTACGCGCTGCCATGCGCCGGCGGCGGCGGGCCACGGCGCCGGCGGATCGCGCGGCGGGGCGCAGCGTAAGCTCACGCATGTTTTGCAGGACCCGATCCAACGTTCAATGTCGCGGTCGATACCCGGCCACCACAACCTACTTCGTGCGTTACTTTTTGTTTTTATTATTCCTAGATGTGTGTCGTGTAGTTCTTTTAGCATGTGTTCCCTAAACTTTGACGGAATTACTATTCTATGTCCCCTAAATAAGCACCCTTGTTCGAACTGTAAGTCGGACTTACATTGAAAATAAGGAAGTATTGTTCGACAGCTTATTTTACGTGGCCAACCGTGATTCATGTACCTAATGACTGTTTTAAGAACCGTATCTTGTTGTGTCACTAATTGTGCAATATCGCGGATTGTCGTCGCCGGTGACGTCTCATTCATAAACTTAACTACGTAGTAAGAGTCTAAATCGTTATCGTGGCAATCCGATGCATTTCTACACGTTAAGGGTGAGCGAGAAAAATAATCTGCAACTACGTTTTTATCGCTCGACACATACTGGACAGTGTAATTATAGGCCGATAATATTATAGCATATCGCTGTAATCTCAGCGCTGTTGTAATCGGTATGCCTGTTTTAGTATCGAAAATAGAAACTAGAAGCCTATGGTCGGTTTTAAGAATAAACGGCTCGCTTCTACCATACAAATATTGATGAAATTTCTTCACCCCGAATATAATGGCAGTTGCCTCTTTCTGAATTTGGCTGTAGTTACGTTCACTGGTGGTGAGTGAACGAGACGCAAACGCGAGGGGGCGTTCGTGACCGTCGTCCGATCGTTGTGATAGAACGGCGCCTAGGCCCCCGGGTCCGGCGTCCACGCACAGTACGAGTTGTGCTGTGGGCTCGAAGTGCGCTAGCACGCGTTCGGACGCCAGCTCGCGGCGCACTGCCGCCATGCTACGCCTCTGATGCTCGCCCCACTCCCATGGCGTATCGCGACGCAATAGCTCGTGAAGAGGATGGAGTAGTGAAGACACTGGCGACGAGTTTTGTACATACCTACGCGTAAAAAAAAAAATATGTCGTATTTAGGTAATTTGCCTGTTTTCGATCACAAAACAAGTGAATGGTCAATATTTTATGGGAAATTAACACAGTTCCTAAGGATAAATAATGTGACAAAAGAAGAAATTAAGAGTGGTATCCTGCTTACTCATCTCACCGATGAAACCTACCGCTTAGTACGTAACTTAGCGTACCCTAACACGGTGGAATCGTTAACTTACAACGAGCTAGTTCAAATACTCAACAGCCATTTCAAACCAAAGCAGTGCTCCTTCGTAGATAAGGCCAACTTTTTCGGAGCGACTAGAAGTCCAGGAGAATCACTGGGAGACTGGGCGGCGCGATTAAGAGGACTAGCAAGCCATTGCGAATTCGGCGACGCCCTGGAAACGAATCTGAGAGATCGTTTTGTCCTAGGCCTGGGCTCTGGCCCGGAACGTGACAAGCTGTTCGAGCAGAACCCGACAACACTTACGCTAACTAAGGCGATTGAAATAGGGGAACAAGCTGCTTGCGCAAGAGAGGTAAAGGTGATGCTGAATACGAGCGATTTTGGGGTCATCAAGGAAGAACCTGTGTATCGTGCAAAATTTCACCAGTTCGCTCGGGGAAGCGGAGGTGA